TGGTCATGTTTATTACCCTTACTTAAGAAATGAAGCAGTGGAAGCCCAGAAGGGTTGAATAAAGACCTCAAGGATCCACAGAATTGCAGCTCTAACTCCAAAGCTTATGGCATTCCCAGGGCACCATTTTGAATCTTGTCAGTGATGTAGACTGGGTGAAATTCTATGAGCCACTGTCAGAGTCTGTTAAACCCTTCCCCTGCCTCTTTTCCAGTAATAGTTGATAGTAGAATCTTTAGGGTGTGATGGGTCTTCTGTCTCTCTTCAGTAGTGTCCAGGCTAAATCCTGGAATCTGTAGCAGACCTGGTGCCACAAAGAGCCCTCAGCCTTCTACATTACTATAATAGATTGAAGCTGATAAACCAAGAAGTTAGTTTGTCTTCAAGGTTATCGGCTCCAGTGTCATATTTAGCCCATCAGCATCTCTCTCTACTCAACATTCTTTGCCTTAGAAGGGAATAAAAGTCAGAAAGGAAGTCTGAGGCACTCAGCATTCTGACCTCCTTCTTCTTTGCATGGTCTTACTATTTTCATTAATTAATTAATTTTCATGTAAATATATATGAACATAGGCTGGAAATATGGAGAGAGTGGAGTCATGAATCCTCTAATAGAAAAGCTGTATGATGGGGCAACCAGGTGATAGAAGAGAAGGCAAGGGACTACTACCTTTTCTCCTGCTGGATTAGTTAGGATAGGAAAGGCTTTGCTGCAATAACAGATGAATACCCAAATATCAGTAGCTTAATACCAGAAAATTTTCTTTGTTGTTATGCCATCTAGAATACATGTGGCCTCAAAAGACCCCACAGCAGGGAAAGAGAAGGTATGGGGTTAGTAACCTGGATCTTGAATACCTCACTTAGAAATGACTTGTGTCACTTCTACTTACATGATGTTGATGGGACTTGGATTCTTCTGTGTGCCTAAGAAGGAGAGATAGGCCAGGCACCAGGAAACAGTAGTCATCTCTACACAAAATGTATGAGCCCCTTTCCTATTTCAACTTCCCTTTGTGTCTTGCTGAGACCCATGATCCATCACTTATCTTCTGCTATTCCACCCACTGGGAAAACCTCTTCCCATCCCAACACTTGTCCATCTATACCTCTGTTTCTGCCCCTCATAGCTGAGCACTCCTGCTCGGCAGAGTTGCAGCCCTAGATTGGTAGGGTGGGGAGAATCCTCTGGGCCTGTCAACCAGGCTTCAACTGTTTTTCATTTATTCCTTGAAAGAACTTTATGAGATACTTATTATTATTCCCATTTTATAGGTAGAGAAATTGAAACTCAGAAATGTAATTTTCTAAGTGACACAGCTAGTAGGTAAATACTAAACCAGAATTTCATTTATTCATTTAGTTCTCAATAAACATATATTGAGTGCAACTTACTATTGATTGTGGCCTCTTGTCCCAGAGAGGTTAAGAACTTTGTCTTTGGATTTGGACAGTCTTTGATTCTAGGCTGGAAAAGGCATTTAACTGCTCTATGTCTTGGTTTCCCCATCTGTAAAACAGTGACAATAACACCACTTATTTCATAGGGCTAACGTAAGAATTTAATGGGCCAATGCATATAAGGTGCTTCGTGTAATGCTGAGCTTATAATAAGCACTCCACAAATAGCTAGTGGGAGAACAGCGTACAGATAAATTATATCAATACGGCATGATTAAGTACGTGATGAAGGTAAATCCAGGATGCTATGGGAGCAGAGAAGGGAAACATAAATCAGTTTAGGGTGTGCCTTCTCAGGTACATGGTTACGGAGACAAGTTTTGAAAGAGTGACAGTTATTATATTGAACAAGGCTAGAGAGTAAGGCAGGGAGTTCTTCCGGGTTGAGGAAGTAGCATGTGCAGATTATTGGAGGCAAGAAAGCATGCCACTGAACTTGAATGGGTCAAAGCAAAGGGATGGATGCCAATATGACCAGAGGCCAGGAGTGATCAGAGATGGGGCTGAAGTAGCAGGCAAGGCCAGGACACCAAGGACTCTGTGTAGCCCTGTAGCACGTATATGAACATGGTCCTGAGACCGTGGGAGCCCTTGGAGGTGCTTAAGCAGACTGCCTTAGAAGACAGATCAGAGATGGGGTTCTGGGGCACAGACAAGGCAAGACCATGGGGGAGAACAGGTAGGAAGCCACTGAAACAGGCCAGGTGGGAGCACTGGAGTCATGTCCTCTCTCAAGCCTTCTGTTTCTTTTTCTGACATGTGAGCCATGTCCTGCCTACCTCCACAGGTGGGGAAGAATTAATGAAAATAGCCACTTAGAATAGGGGTTGGCAAACTGTTCTGTAAAGGGCCAGATAGTAAATATTTTCAGTTTTGCAGGCCATGTGGTCTCTGTCACACCTGCTCAACTTTGTCATGGTAGCACAGAAAGCAACCATAGATGAGAAATATAAAATGAGCGTGACCATGTTCCAATAAAACTTTATTTATGGACACTGAAATATGAATTTTATATAATTTTCATGTGTCATAAAATATTACTCTTCTTTTTGTTTTTATTTCCCCCAACTGATGAATCACTAAATTCTACCCCTGAAACTAATAATACTCTTTATGTTAACTAAAATCAAATTTAAATAAAAAATTAAAAAATAATACATAAAAATTAAAACAAGTAAAATAGCAGCCCATTTAAAAATGTAAAAACCATTCCTAGCTCACATGGCCACACAGGAAACAGTGAGAACCCGGATTTGACCCACGAGCCACAGTTTACTGACCTCTGACTTAGCATGTGCTTTGAAAATGGTGAAGCTCCTCGTACCATTAAGGGAGGAATATTACGATGACAGTTGACTGGCAGTTACATATATATTTTTTATTATGTTATGTTAATCACCATACATTACATCATTAGTTTTTGATGTAGTGTTCCATGATTCATTGTTTGCGTATAACACCCAGTGCTCTATGCAATATGTGCCCTCTTTAATACCCATCACCAGGCTAACCCATCCCCCCAACCCCCCTCCCCTCTAGAACGCTCAGTTTGTTTCTCAGAGTCCATAGTCTCTCATGGTTCGTCTCCCCCTCCAATTTCTCCCCCTTCATTCTTCCCCTCCTGCTATCTTTTTTTTTTTTTTTTAACATATAATGTATTATTTGTTTCAGAGGTACAGGTCTGTGATTCAACAGTCTTACACAATTCACAGCACTCACCATAGCACATACCCTCCCCAATGTTTGTCACCCAGCCACCCCATCCCTCCCACCCCCCACCACTCCAGCAACCCTCAGTTTGTTTCCTGAGATTAAGAATTCCTCATATCAGTGAGGTCATATGATACATGTCTTTCTCTGATTGACTTATTTTGCTCAGCATAACACCCTCCAGTTCCATCCACGTTGTTGCAAATGGCAAGATCTCATTCCTTCTGTTGGCTGCATAATATTCCATTGTATATATATACCACATCTTCTTTATCCATTCATCTGTCGATGGACATCTTGGCTCTTTCCACAGTTTGGCTATTGTGGACATTGCGACTGGCAGTTATATTTTATAGTATTTCACGACATTGCTCAAGCTTGCTATTTGTGTAATTTTTGTTGAAATTATGTGCTTCCTGTTTATCAGTTGGTCTGGAACACCCTACCTCTCCATTTTGTATAAGGGCTTTATACAGTTTTGTTGATGAATCACTAGAGAAACATGCAGGCTTTCTCCAAGCATAAGACACCTTCCTGCCTTTTATATCATTCTCTTTACAGAGACGAGTAGTCGGTTTCAAAGGGCCAGGAGCATTAGTCTTGCAAACCAGGGTTTAAATACTGCCTCTGCCGGTTACTAGTTCTGAGACGTTGAGCAAGTTATATCAATGCTCTGATTCATTTCTTCACTCATTCATTCATTTATTCAACAAATATCCACAGCGTCCCTCCTACGTGCCAGGTACAAGACAAGGTCACAGGAGCGCTTAGTAAATGAAACGCGGTGCCTACCTTCAGGGAGCTTACAGAGTTGAGGAAAAGACAGCCACTAATAACAGGGCAGGGTTATCGCTGTGAGAAAGGAAGACCAGGGGGTTATGGGAAGACAGAGCGGGGTATCTACCCCACACATGGTGAGACACCAAAGACTCCCAAGAAAGCAGTTCCAAACTGATTCCTGAAGGATGAGCAGTTGCCAGTCGGGTAAAGGGGTAGGAAGGGAGTATATTCTACACAAGATGATGAGCCTGGGTAAGGCCTGCAGACAAGAACGTGGGTGGCTGTTGATAACGGAGAGGATTTCGTTGCCCTTGGGGCAGAGAGTGTGGAGGGACAGGCAAGGATCTCATCACTGAGGGTCTGCGAGCTGGGGGAGGGGCTCTGAGGTTTCCCTTACTGATGCCTTTCAGCTGTAGGGTGGAAGGTAAATTGAAAAGGGGGCAAGACCAGAGGCAGGAAGACCAGCAAGGAGGCTGGTATTTTAAGCAATCCCACGTGAAGCGTGAGGGTGGCTTGAACCAAGTAGAAATGAGATTGGAGGGAAAGGGGGAGGCTTCGAGAGCTTTCCTGGAGAAGAATTACTGAGGCATGCTGAATGATTAGAAGTGGGAGGTCAGTAAAAAGGAGAGGCGAAGGCTGACTCCCAGATTGCTAGACTCCCAGATCGCTACGTGGGTGGGGCCACCATTTACTAAGAAAGCAGAGACTGGGAGAGAAAACACAGAGTGGAAAGATGATGGGGGTTCGTTTATAATAAAACTGACCTTTCCGGGTTGCTCTCAGTCTTAGAAACATTGTTAGTGAGGTACCTGGCAGAGTACCTGGCATGTCGTGGGTGCTTGATAAATGCTGACTCTTATTCGCGTTTCATTTTTTAAAAATCTATTTCAGGCCTTGTTTTGTTAGAACACAATGTTCTTTTGCTGTTTAGCGTGAGCTCTTCAGAGCCACAAGAACTGTAGTTTCGTTCACGGTGCCACACGTTTTCATGTGTGTTTCTTTCTCTCCTCTTCTGCGTGCTGCCTGGGGACTGGCTTCCTTGTGGTCAGCACCAATGGGCAGCGCCCAGGTGACCCCGGGGACTCCACTCTGCCTCCTCACCACAGGTGACCACCAGAGCCCTGGGCGGGTGGGAAGGGGTTGAGAGTGGCTCACGCTCAGGGCGTCCTCCGGGCCAGGTGCCCCAGAGAGGAACTGGCAGTCCTTGCTGGAGGGCCTCCTTCCCACCCACCCATTCCCCCCCCCCCCCATTCACCCACCCACCCATCTCTCCATCCCTCCCTTCATCCATGCATCTATCCACTCATCCATTGTACTGATGCTTACTAAGTTCCTACTATGTGCCAGGCACTGTTCTAGGCATGGAGGGATACAATGATGAGGAAAGGAAGACATGTTCCTGTGCCTTTCTGGGAAGAGAAAGAGCCACACTGATCAATGTACAACTGTAACCATGAGGGGGGCTACAAAGGAGAGGTGTGTGGTGTTCAAAAGAAACACCCACACATACCTGGAGCTAAGAGCGTGTGTCCCTGGGTGGAAGTGACAACGGAGCTGTGGTCTGAGGTTGGGGAAGAAGTGGGCCTACTCTATCTGTGCTTAGGACATGAGTAGATCTGGCTATGATCCCAGGCCTCCCCTGTGTGCTGGACAAGCCCTTGAAATGTGATGGTCCCCACCTCTCCTATGTGTTAAGCAGGAATCATAACGGCTGCCTCTTAGGGGGCACCATTTGCTTCTAGAATCTGCATATGCAGAGCCTTCTGGAGGTGTGTTCCGAGACCATACAAGATAATGAGTGTGAAAGGGCTTGTGTGGAAGTGCCCAGCCTAGAGTAGGTACTTGTGTGAAGGAGATACCAGCCCCTTTCCTGGACGCTGTAGTTTGATTGCATTTCCCATAAACATCTGCCACTGTTCAAAGACTGGGATGCAGAGCCCACCTGTGTCAGAGGCTGATGCCCATAGCAGGCCCTACAGATGAAAGAGACCCCACTGACCTAGAGATGCTACTTCAGGGCCCTTTCTTGTCAGTGGAAGTCTTTGATAATTTCAAATCATTACCTGTCACCTCTCTCAGAGTGGTTATTCAGACAGCGGCCTCCTTTCTACTAGTCCCTGACCGGCCACTTTGTCACGGTGGGAAAGGGGGTGTGGCTGGCAGGGATGACAGGAGTCTGGCCATCCAGTACCTCACGGTCCACTTCTGTCCACCCCCTTCCCCAAAGTCAGAAATATCACTGCTAGTGAATGTCTTAGGCTGGGCTCTGTATACACGGAGCCTGAGATAGGGATTCCTGTGCAAATGACTCATTGAGGGGTATTCTCTGAGGAAAGAAAGGCAGGAAGGCAGGCTAGGGCAGGATGTGGAGGCTTGTCGCAGCCTGAGCCCACAGGGGCCTCTGGCGGGTGGGAGTTGCTCTTACCTTAAGGCCCAGGGGCTCGCAGTTGTGCCGCGGTGCCAGCCAGCCGTTAGCTGTGGGCTGCTATGGGAGTGCACAGGCGCCTGGAGAGGCCCCTCGCCTTTGCCTTATGGCCCCTATGCCGGTGAGGAGGTATCTGTGAGCCGTTAGCAGCCAGCACCCATAGCAGCTGGACGTTCGGTGTGCCAGCCTGGGAAAGGAGATGTGGGCAGACCCTCAACAGCATTCACTGCAGCCCAGTTTTCCCTGCCGCCAACCCCCGTAGCTCAGCGTGTCACTGCCAACGCCCCAGGAGTGTCATTGTAGCCACTCCCTCCCTATATGACCTAAAGCAAGTTGCATAGCATTTTTTCACCTGCAAATCTAATTCTCACATTCAGAGTCCTATTACAGATCACTATTAGGCGACCCTAGAGACTGCCCTGCTCAACAGCCGCACGTAGTAGGCCTTCAGGAAATGCCAGTCCCCTACCATCCCCAATCATAGGCCTACCAGCCTCACCCTCACCCCCAAGGAGGCGGGGAGTTGCATGCAGTTGCCTGGTCACTCACAGAGAGGGGGAAGGGACTCTCACTACTGTGCCCACACCCCCTCTCCTGAGACACCACGCGTCCCCAGAGCCCGTGTGGGAGCTCCGTTTCTGCAGGGCCATTGTTCTCTGGCATCTCTTCAAGTTGAGCAGTCTGATAATGTTTTCTTTAAACAGAGCCGGTTCCCTATCAGGCACATTTGTTCTTACCTCTTGCCTCTAAGGTGTCTGAATGTTCCTCCTCTGACAGGTTTATTTCATTGCGTTCCATTTGTTTCTCGGCCCCATTTGATGGGTGAGGTGCCTGCGAGTGTTTCTCTTGGAGCAGAATGTCCCTTTCAGAGGGTGTTTTTGTTCCTGCTCATCCCCTGGTAGCAAGAAGGGCTGCTGGAAATAATAACTGCCGGCTCTGAGTGATGGGGATATTAGACCCGAAGCTCGGGCTGCCTTTTTGTGGATCGGCACCAGCTTGGGGAACCGCAGACCCTCATCTTGTAGCAGGGAGATGCTGGGATGCGGAGCAGAGCCCCCTTCCGGCCTGGCGATCATGGGCCAGTGATTTCTCCTCTCTGGGCTTCCTTCTCTTCTGGAGAAGTGGGGACTATGGCACCCCCGGCCATATTAGTTGTGAGAACTGAGTATGGTAATCGCCTTAACCTCTTCGCTCAGCTCACTCCAACGAGCTCTGCAGGACTCTGACTTCCTGGCTATGCTCTGGGGCAGGGTTCCTCAACCTCAGCACGAGGGACATTTGGGGATGGGTGATTCTCTGTCGTGGGGGGCTGTCCTGTGCACGGTAGGATGTTTAGCAGCACCTCTGGCTTCTACCCACTAGGTGCCAGTAGCACTTCATCCCTCAGTTACGACAACCAAACTCTATCTCCAGTGTGCCGTGTCCCCTGAGGGGCAGTAGCTCCCCCTGTGGAAATCCTCCAGAGCTGCACTGTTCAATAAAGATAGAACTGGGACCATGTATATAATTTGACATTTTTTTTTAAAGATTTTATTTATTTATTTGTCAGAGAGAGACACGGCGAGAGAGGGAACACAAGCAGGGGGAGTGGGAGAGGGAGAAGCGGGCTTCCCGCAGAGCAGGGAGCCCGATGCGGGGCTCGATCCCAGGACCCTGAGATCATGACCTGAGCAAATGCAGACACTTAACCAACTGAGCCACTCAGGCGCCCCTATAATTTTATATTTTTTTAGAGTCACATTAAAAAAAGAAAAAATAACAGATGAAATTAGTTTTAATAGATATTATTTAACCCAATGCATATAAAACATTATCATTTTAACATGCAATCAGTATTTTCAAATTACTAATGAAAGGTATTTTACATTTTTTTTTTGCACTGAGTCTTTGCAGTCTGGTATACATTTTCCACTTAGAGCACATCTCAATTCAGATACTAGATTTTAATCAGTTAAAATGAAATATAACCTTAAAAATGTAAACATTATATTTAATAAGTAAACATACTTTGTACTAGTTTTTAAATTTAAATTCATTAAAACAAATCATAACATAAATTTAAAATTTCAGTTCCTCAGTCACACTAGCCACATTTCAGGTGCTCAGTAACCACATGTGGCTTAGCGGCTACCATCTTGGACAGCGCTGATCTAGGGGCAAAAAGATATCTTGACCATCTTTGTGCCTAGCTGGTGAACAGAAGTGTATATGCATAGAGAAGTGGCTCGGTAAATGTTCAATTCCTTTGTTTGATTTTGACACACGCACACACACACACACACACAGGGACATTTGATAACGTCTGGAAATATATTTAGTTGTCATGGGTAGGTATGAAGGTGGAGGCCGGGGATGCTTGCCTTGCAAAAATAAGGTCTTGTGGCCAGGGTTAGGTGTTTTTGTGTAGTGGGCTGACTTGCGGCTGCAGTGGACAAATGACTAGCTAACATTTCACCTAAAGGACTTGGGACCCCATGGACCCACCACGGCAGGAAGTACCCCTTCTCTGGATTTTGCAGTAACTCAGACAGGCCTCCAGGGAGCAGTCTGGGACCCTGGGTCCAACAGGAGGCTGGAGAGGATGCACTCATGGTCAGCCAGGCATCCATGCTCTTGAGCTGAACCCCTGCCAGACCCAGATTCACCGCCTTGACCATGCCCAGTGCCCATTGTCAATTCTCCACAAGGAGAAGGGCTTTGGGACAAGCCCTCATATGGAGCCCAAACTCTGTTCCTTAAAACTGGGGGAACTTGGGCACATCACACAGCCTTTCTGATCCCAGGTCCTCATCTATGAGATAATGTGGATGAGTCCCAGCACCGCCAGGCTCACTGGTGGCGAGGGTCGTTAGAGAACAGGGGTGCATTTCTGGCATTGCTCCTGCTTGAGAGGGTATCAAGTGCACCTTCCCTCTGTCGTTCCTTTCTTTCCCGTCCACTTCATGTGAAAACTCTCTGTTGTTGTCTTCCTGGCAGTTTTTAAAATCAGAGCCTTGGCCACAGTAGCAGGATTCAGGCCATAAAACACTCTCAGAGACTGCTTTGCCTCTAAAGCAACTTGCCCAGGGATGGCTTATAAATTCTGGACCCAGGTTGAGTTTCAGCCTTTGGGATAAAGCTGTGTGGGCCCAGAGCAGATGGGGAAGCAGCATGGCAGCCTCCCGAGGGCTCAGCATGGTGCCTGGTGGCCTCTGCAGCCTCGACACCCTAGGGCTTCAGCAACCCTCCCAGGGAGGCTATGCCCCCTGGCAAAGGATGACAGATGGTGTGAGCACAGGAGCTGGAAGCAGGAGGACCAGATGTAGTGCTCTGGAAAAGGCTAAAACCCAAGCACCCACCATGAAGGGACCATGCTGGGCAGAGAGAGGGGGAAGGAAGACCCCCAGTGGGAGACAGCCTGCCAGGCTGGCTGGAGAGAGGTGGCAGCTCTGGGGGAGAATGGCATCAGGGATATCTAGCGAGATGAGGAAAAGAACAATAGGACAGCCGAGATGTGTTACAGACTTCCTATATCCCATGCACGTGCAAAGGGCTTCCCATTATTCATGTATTTCACCCATAGGGAGCTGTTAGCATTCCCATTTATGGATGTGGAAACTGAGGCTCTGATCATTGGCTATCTCACAGCTCAGAGATGATAAATTTCTCTGGACGGTCTGCACTCCTACCCAGCATGCTCTA